CATCACAGACCAAATCTAGTAAATGAACAGGTTGGCGTGATGTTATGTTTTTTGAGCCCAAACGGGAGCCGTCTAAGAACATTTCTTACAAAACTAACATCTGGAGTACCAGACAGGTCCACCACTCAAACCACAAACCCCCACAGACTGCAGTGTTTTCAGCCCGACAGTGTGCTCGCTGAATTTCATAACCGTTTCCCCAGTTCTGGGGCTCTCGGGGGGTTTTTAGGTTAAAGGTTTAGATAATATTCACATTACAACACATGGAGCAGATGGGGAGGCGGGACATGTGTGGCTGGATGAAACCTTCGAAGTGTCACGTTTGACACTGACTTTATAACAACTGGCTCTGTGCACTCAATGACGATTAACAGACAGCATTCATTGGAAAATGAAAAATGGAAATGATATTTGTATAACTCATCCTATTATTGTGTTTCTTTGGTTGAACAAATAAAATAGGGCCACGTAGAGCTGGGCAACATTTCAATATGATCATTTATCATCTTTCTAAAATCATACATTAACATATCGTAATAAACCATTACCCCCGTCTGAATTGATATATTTTTGAGTGAATACCATTTCAATATGTCGGTTCTGATTTTACATCACACTTTACATTATCACTCGTTTAATGAGATTAACAAACGGTGCATATATGAAAATATATATTCATCTTTTTCTCTATAATTTCACTTGAAACTGTTGACAGCAGTATACAAAAAATAGGCTTTACCATGATGTTATTTCATAGAGGTTTTACTTCGCAGAAAACATGCTACATCGTGATATATATTGTTATCTAAATATGAAATGACCTTTATGGGGATAAAAGATGTTGGTCATATCTCCCTGTAAAGCTAAGAATCGCTCACATTTCACTTCTTCACTTACTTCACGTCCGAACGCCACGAGTCTTTTTTTTTAAGGAAACTAGATATCACATCTGACAATATGAGCCTCTCTCTCAACATATATTACTAATCAAAGGTGATTATGACGGCAGTGTGCTGCGCGGAGTCATTTCTGTCTCATGCAAAACAGACAGAGTTGTGCTCTGCAGAGCACAACTCTGTCTTTGCTCAATTTAACTCTACTTTATCTTGAATAATCTCTGAGATGTGAATCTTAATCATTCTAGAGCGTAACCCTGTTGTAATGGAACAAAGACCAATTAAATAAGTTACACTGAAACTCAGGTCATTGAATAATAATTTGCAGTATTCAAACCCTTTTATTCAAACAAACCATCAACTCCCAAGGGACCTAAAAAAATAGATCTTGCAAGGCTTCCTGGATTCACACTGTATGTTTATTGGAAATTAGGCACGCAACACAGCCTCTGTCACGATGCAAATATGTGAGTGTGTGCATGAAGAAAAAACCTCCATCACAAAATGTGCAATTATTGCAAGGCCTTAAGGCTGCGCCTGATACGAGGCTCAAAGGAGAGAGATTACAGGTCACTGATATCAGAGTCATGTGCTCGATGCATACTCTGACAGCAAAGACCTGCACACTGAGTCTTAAAGGTAAAGTCAAGATACTGTTATCAAATGAAACAAGTCGGCCTGATGAATCCACTGGTACAATGCCATGCTGGCTGAATAATGCCAAGTCGGGCAAAATTTGGGCGAGGGAAACTGGCTGTGCAATATTCAGGGTTCACAATCCACTGTTCTGTTACTGAAAGAAACCATGTTGCAATAAACTAGAATTACACTTGAATGTAAAAGTGTGTTACTACGACAATACAATCCTCTCACGCATCATTGAGTATGTTTCAGAGTCTTTTTATGCTCTTTTTATTTTACAGCACTAACTGCTCCTCTGTTGTGCAGGTCTGTTCACGGTCCAGACGCAGAACACTGTTGGCTGGAGTCACATCTTTTTATCAATGAGCAAGGATCGTAAATATAAATCACATTGGGACCATGTAAACCAACACTAATTAGCTCCGCTATCTGGCAAATAAAGGGTGAATAAATGATGCGTCATAACCATCATATTAATCTCTTCTTTAATAACAGTGTTTTGGAAGAGAACCACAGCTCAGTAGCTGTTTTAAAGTGAAACAGTTAAGACATTGAAAGTTGCGGCTGTACCCACAATCAATACAGTGACATTGCTGCTCAAGTTCACGTGTTCCTGAGGGAAACTGCAGAGTTCATTGTTGAGAAAAATAAATCATTTAAGATGAAGTGGAACATGAATGCGGACTGACACTACAAATGGCAGAGGGCAACATGAGATGTGTTTGATGTGAGCAAAGTCTGATAACAGAGATGTGACATAAAGATTAACTCCCGCTGGCGAGGGAAAGAAGAGATGTTCTTGAAGTGTTTCTTGTTTCAGATGGCGTCTAAAGGTTTCATTGTAAATTGCATGACATTAGCGATTCGCTGGTGTCTCTCCCGTGTGGTTACCTGCGCTGTCAGAGAAGGTGGGCTCTCCCGCATGTTTGTAAGGGTTGAACTTGGGCTTGGGTGCGACCACGGGCGCAAATTTCTTGGGTGCCTGCTGCTGGGAGATGGAGATGCTCGCGTTACCCAAAGTGGTCTCCATCCTGGCGGCCACTTGGCCCGTCTGGTCGTTGCTGTTCACCTGGTTCCACATGGTTCTGATGAGGAAAGACAGGAGATGTTAAAAGACTGAAGGTCGGGCCTGTGAACACAAGGACGACATGAGGTCGGTCAGTGCAGGTGACGGAGACTCTCTGAAAACCACAGAAGTGAGGAAACGGAACTATTGATCACAATAGGATGAAAGAATCCAGCTCCAAACAGTTAAACTTCAACAACATGTATCTGATAGTCATTTTAATCTGGAGGTAGTGCCAGCTGGAATCATCAGCAGACATGATAATCTGTGAAGGAAGGGACAGGAAGAGGCCTGGACAAAAGTCAAAAAAAAATTCACTACAACAGCATTTATAGATACAGGTAAAGAAATAAAAAATAGAGTAAAAAATGAAATATAATATATATAATGCATTGGCTTCACTTTCCAGACCCAGAGGTAGCCACCTGAATATGGCCGACAGCAATTTTTTGAACATTTGTTAATGGCAAATTGTGTATTAAACTACCTTTTTAAAAGAAATATTGTCATGCTGCAGGGTCCTGGCCTACACATCATATTCTACAGACTTAAGAAAACATCTTTGTCTGGTACAGATCTGTAGAAAAATAAACACCATTTGAATATAGTTTTCAATGAAATTGAGAATAGTGATGTAGAAAATGATGCAATTGTTCCCTCTGTTATTGCAAATCATATCGCAATTGCCATATCAGTCAAAATAATCCCATTGAAAATGGTCCAGCCCTTAGTAGGACCCACACTGCGTCTCAGTGTTCCTGAGGGTTGGTGCAGAACGTTGGAGGTGGCTGGCCGGCGTCTCCACAGCGATGTGTGCATGATTCACGTCTACAGTACTTCCTGTGTGTCAACTATTGAGAGATTATCAAAGCAGCTGGTAATGTTATTCCGCAAAATAAATAAAAAACGAGGTGATACGCGCTGTGTTCTGACATGCATTCACGTGTCCAATTTAATTAAAGTAACAAAAGTATCAAAGAGAAGAAACCACTTTGAACTCTGAACCTTTTTCTTTTTCTTGCAATGAGAACAAATTAAAAAAAAAGTGATGTGTGAGACAAAGAGACAACAAAGACTTCATCACAGACAAGCATTGAAAAATGACCAGTGATGTTCAGTGTTGATGCAGCTGTCAATATATATATACACAGTATGTGTTTGTGTGTGTAATTATTTTACATTTTAATAATGTATGTATCTTTGTTGGGGGTTTTTTTTATGGTGGGGAATACATGGATTCAAATTGCTACATCAAGATGCAGCCAACAGACAGCTAGCCATCATAATGACTTTGATTTCTGTTATATTTATGCATCTGTGGATGTGTATGGCCTTGATACAGTTACAGTGAAAACAACAGAGTCAAAGACTTTGCCGTGGCTGAGGACACAAACATCCAGTATTTCACCATCGCATTCTGAAATCACTTGAAATATTTGAACTATTTATACGCCGCACTTTTCCCCCATCTTTCTTTTTTGTTTGTGTTTGTTGTGCTGTGTTCTGATGTTTTCTTGCGGTTTATTATCCTCGGTCTGACTGATACAGGGTTTACATTCTTTCTCCGGAGCACAGGAGGAAAAAAAAAAGCCCACGCACAATCATCTTTTAATATCTGCTGAAATCCCTGCTCCTCCTGCCGCCTGAATGGTTCTTACTTTTGAACCCCCCCCCTGCTCTTAATGCTGCGATTCAGACATGCTGGTGTCTCACACCCACCTGTCCTTTCAATGCAAATGCTTTCATTTCTCGACGCTCAAGTGGCTAACAAAATAAAAGATGAATTAAAAAGGAGGCGAGAAAAAAAAAATAAAAAGGGGAGAAATGATCTTAGAATGTGTGAGCAAGATTCAATGGGCGACGCGTTGAATGGAAAATGTCTGTTTCGCTGTGTGGTTACATTTTTTTTTTGACGATGGCAAATAATCCACAGCGGGGCGTCACTTCCTTCGTACTCGGCCTTAAAGTGCACGTTAAATCCACTAAAAATCATGTGCCATGTTTGGGAACACAAACCAGAACCCAACACACACTGATGACCTCAGCTTTCAATCACTAAAGTGATTCATGGGCGACTTGTCTGAATAACGGCTTCTAATTGCTTCGCCCCGTTAGACTTCAAATCTACTCTTCTAATGGAGAAACGGTCCCAACCACAAACGATCGACATTTCTGTGGTTTGAAAGAATGATCAAGGAATGCAATAAAAAGGAAAGTATGAAAAATAAAAAAGTAACAAGGACGTTATTTCTGAAAAGAATATGTTGCTGTGGAGTTTTTAAAATGTTTTGCCGTTTGGAGCTCAACAATCTGCTCCATTGTGTTGAGGTGGAGGCAGAAGTCTCAACAAGAGATATCTCAAAACCTACGCGACTAAAAACTAGCAACTTGCTGCATTATCAGGTGTAGGAATATATGGAATATATATTTTAGAAGAGCCAACCTTTTAATACGTTAAAGGACGGGCCTGGTGTTCTTCTATATTTTTCATATTGTAGTTGGAGGACCAAGACATGCAATCTATTAATCCATCTCTTAATACTTTCTGACTTCCTAAAACAGCAGCGCACTGTAGTTCTTAGCAACAGCATAGAGGGCAGTTCACATGCTACGGTTTTGCAAACATAAATCCATTGATGTCTCGGTGCACAAGTGTTCCCAAGCACCCCCTTTTTTTTAGGGTGCTGAAGAACAGACAATCACAGCCAGCGGATATCTTTTCTTTCTTCTGTAATAAATATCAGTCAAAGTTAAATATATGGAGGCCTTTTGGCTACCCGGAGCTTTACCATCTGTCCCGACTCTTCAACCTTGTTTTTTTTAACCGCAACATGTGAACGGCCACTATTTCTTCAGGTCCTGAAAATGTGTCAAATCACCTTTTGACATCATGATATACGTAAGCCAGGACAAAGAATCTACTGGAGTCACATTTGAAGGAGTATGTCTGACATTCAACTGCCTCCTAAACAGGTATTACTGCAGGTATTCAAGCTTCAGCATGTTCACTATTTGACTGTGCATCCACTATCATGAAACACTTTGGTGAAACACTTTAGGAGTGGTCAAACTGTTAAAGTAAATCAAATAGTTTGCTCATTTTATTAACGTAGAAAGTTTGTATCTCATATAGCGCGCTGTTGTGATGCATTAAGTGCTTCTTGTACCGCCCGCCGCTGCAGTTAGAGAACACACGGTCATGTGACGAATTTCCTGTTTGATTTTGGCCTCATGCTCGATCGGGTGTCTTTCATTTCTTTGAATAAAGTCACTTTACCGGTGCAAGGTCCGCCTCCATCTGTGCATCATTAACCCTTAGATGCACGAGTGACTGGACCCTACACTCTTCCATAAGTGGGTCAAAAATGACTATTAGAATCAATGTGTTTTTATGTCATTTTTGTCATTTTGGTTAAGAATAATCACTTGTATAATATTTAGTATTATATTTAGGACCACACAAGAATGATTTCATGTTTGAAATATCTTTATTTTTCACTTTTTAACATTTTTAAAAAAGAAAATTACCCAGAACAGCAATAGAAAAATGTGAACATCCATTGTGTCTGTCTGTCTGTCTGTAACTGTCCAGTCATTGACAGTTCCTCTCTCTTTTCCCTGTTTTGCCTTCTCGTCTCATCACTGTATGCAGTTCAGACAAACTACCCGTTTCTGGCTGTGATCATTGCACACAGGTACATTGCATTTCCCACACCTATTGTTGACTTTGCGATCTTTGTTACTTGGGCAGATCTGACACCTCTTTCTCTTTGGTTGGCCCTGTCTGCTTCTTTCCTGTGGCTGGGTTGTGGCTTTTGTCACCCCACACCTTTCCATTGCTTCAATAATCGGGGTTTGCAGTTGGGGGCAGCCTTCCAGTTGACTCCTCATGTGTGGTGTGACAAGCTCCTTTGACAGCTCTTTGAGGAAGAGCCGTCGTGCATAGCTGCTCATGAAACAAGGGCCTCGGCTTGAGATGCTCTCTCTCTACATTGGAGAACTCCAGCACGGGTTGGAGACTAGCATGCCGCAGTGACAGTTCATCAGCCTATCACAGTCACAACTTCAGAGTTTCCACTTCGCCCCGTGTGTGTCTGTGGGAGGAAACCAGAGCAGGCAGAGAAGAACCCACATAGACAACATCGTACGCGGCACATACCATATGTGTGGAACTTGAACTTTGCTGCAAACACATTCTGACTCAACAGATGTGGCCTGGTTGCGATACATTTCTCGCCCTTTGTCTCCTGCGCTGGCACGGCGTAACACTGGGTGCAGAGAGGTCTGATGAGACGAAACATGACGCGCTTTTATGCTTATTTAACTTTGACTTAGTGTTCTGTGATCTCCTGCTACTTAATAAGATGAATTATGCATCTGCTTACCGCTCGTCTAATTCAGCTTTGATGTGTTCAGTGATGATGAAAAAAAACTGAAAGTCCCTCCCTTGTGCAGATGACGTGAACACGAACACGAGAAGGCTTGTGTACACACACGCACAAATGGATTGATATGTAAGGCATATGGTACAGGTCGAAAGTGCGCACAGTAAAAAAAAAAAAATAATAAAAAAGGCTACATCCGTATTGAAGCCTCATGAAAAGAAAGTCAATTGTGATTGCCGGGGCGAGCTGTGACACCGTGTTTAACAGTTTGCTTTATGGGGGCACAGCAGTCGGGCTGTCTTCTCACCGCTGTTCCGCTGCACTTTTACAGCTGTCATTGAGGAACTGCTGCAGGTGTTTCTGCTGCATTAATCTTTCATATCCACCAAGGAAACTATCAAACAAAAACCATCCAAAGAGGACCACAGAGAGTACAGAAAACATAAAATGGCAGGGTTCAGAGATTTAGATTTAGGGGGGGGGGGCTCTCATGACAGGCTTTCTAGTAAAATCTTCTGAATTGCATGTTGAGAACGTTACACTGAACTGCAGAACTTCATCATGCAAAAAAGCTGCAGTAACTTCAACAGCTTCTTTCTGTTGCTCTTTTTTTTTAAACAGACAAATACACAAATATCTGTGGTGATTGATTCATGTTACAGCAGCAGATGCAGAAGTGTTTTGTTTTTAAGTGTCAAAAATGATCACCCTCAACTTAGCAACACAGTAGTTAAAGCTAAAGCTAGGGTAGATCATGTATTTAGATTGTATTTTTGTTCTCTTTACATCCCGACAGCAAATAATAAATGAAATCAGGTATCTGTGGCTGTCGTAGGACTGTAATAAGCCCGTCCAATCATTTCATTGACCTAGCGGCCTGTCCAACACACCAAAACCAAGATGGCGACGGTCAAAATCCAAAATGGCGACGGCAAAAAACCAAGAAGATGGGGGCCAAAAACCAAGACGGCAGGGGCCTGAAACCCCCAAAACCAAGACAGCGACAGCCAGAAACCAAGATGGCAACAGCCAAAATTCTAAACTTAAGGCTTCAAAATCGTTGACAACAAACCAACTGGTGACTAAGTATACTTCCTCTACACAGTCCATGGAAGACTTGGACTTTTACTTTCATTGCATAGTATTTGGCAACACTGGGTTGGATTTGTCAGTTGGATCATGTTTTTAAATCTAGCTCTTTCTTGCTGGTTTCTCCAACACTTCCTATGCAAGCTTTACGTTAAAGCTAAGGATCTGACACGAGACTGCTGAGCACTGCAGTTTTCAGCAAACCTCACTTCATCAAGAGAAAATAGGGCATTTGTCTGGGTACTATTTTCAGCAGCAGATTAATACACATGTACTGCTCTGGCGTGTTTGTCGACAACAATGGAGCTCTATGGCACAGAGCATGAAGATACAAGCTTTGATCTAAACACAATTCTTGTTGGTGGGATCACTTTATTGTTGCATTTGGTCTTTTCATGGGATTTGCTGACAAATAGAGATATATAGAATAGCACCAAATAATGGTCCATCTGCTGGTTTGCTTTACACAACAGTACAAAGCAGGAGATTGCAAATGAAAAATGAGCAAATGTCCTCATGTACACTATATATTAAAGGGTTACCAGTGCAGTCCATAATACTGGAAGTGTTACGAAGTGTTCCTAAGTTTATGAGGAAAACCAAAATAAGATTTTAAGTCCAATTATGCTGGTTTTCTTCCACCTTGTGCTTTGTCCTATGAGTGGAGTTCAGTTAAAACTACACAGCCCATGGTTCACTAGGCACCGATCAAAACATCACTTCAAAAAGACACTGCAGAGATGAATATGGAGATACACTCTGGCTGGCAGATCTTTCATACCAAATAGTGGGGTGGGAGGCATCTGGGATTCGTGCCGCAACGCGCGGCGGGTCAGCCATGCGGATGAAAATGCTTTAAAAATTAAAGGTTCCCATCTGCAAGAGGTTGCTGCCGAGTCTTCCCAGCATCGGACTCGCTCTGCTTTAGAGGGCCGGTTGAATGGCTGAACAAGTTAATGCGACATTACACAAACAAGAGCTCGCTGCCCGCGTTGCACCGCTCGGCAGCGAGGAAGAGCAAAGAGTTCAAGTGGTCATTATGAATCTTGAAATGTTTTGTGCAAAGGGGGTAAATATTTGAAAGTGCCGGAAGTCTGACACCACGCGATGTGTCGACGTATTAAAAAGAGCAAAAGGCTGTTTTGGACCTCTTTCAACTGTTAAAACTTTTATAGTGGGAGTGCAACAACAGCGTCAGGGCATGTCAAACATCATGTTCTGAAACATAGCCACTGCAAACAGCACAGCGACATGGCCAGATTACCACAACACCAGCTGAAGAGCAGGGAATCTATTTCTATTGCACTGCAGCGGTCTCATTTATTTAAGGCTGATTTCACAAAAGAGTCATTGAAAAATACAATTCATGAAACATACATATAATCCAAATTAGGATTTAAGTGCATGTAAATGTGAGAAAGTAAGATTTGACTTCTTTATCGCTTTAAGACAGGAATTCCCAGTGCGTAAATGTGAGCCAGTAATTTGTTATCCGACTTATCCCCATGTATGGATTAAGTAAAGTAAAACATGACTGATAAATCCCAGCACAGTGAGAGGTCTTGGTAAATCCCCAGAGGGATAAAAAAACATATCCAGACAAGATCTTTGCATACGTTTCATCCCTATGAGGCATTGGGTTTTTAATTAATTAATATCTCAGGGTACGGTCAGAGCCAGCACCACTCAATTGTCATTTCTGTACATTTTAAGAAGCAAATGCCAGACTGCTGTCTCTTCTTTGTAACAAAACCATTGCAGCTGGTGCTTGAGAATAAAAACTTTGAAATAGCGAGTTTTTTGGACGGTTGCAACTGGCAGTTATTTTAATTATTGATTAAAATGCCCAATATTTTATCAATTACAAGGCACACTTGAGAGTATTTGACCATTAGTAACAGCATGTTGTTAAGAGCTGGTCCTCAGTTTGTTCATCATGCACGCCACCAGTTTTACAACGTTCCACTGATGCAAAGTTTGTGTCGAGCCAGCAAAGGCAATGGATGAGATGTTTAAGGAGGGAGGAACTAGATTCAGACAGCAGGGACACATGCAATGCATTGTGTATAGTTACACAGAATGATTTCACTGGGCACCTAAAATGTAAGAAAACAGTGAGAAAAAAATTATCCATTTTCCAGAGTCCAAGGTGATGTCTTCAAATGTCTTTGATTATTTTTCTGTCTGACAAATAATCCCAAAACCCACTGATATTTAGCTTACAATAATATAAATCAGAGAAAACCCTCACAATAGAGAAAGCTGGCAGCAGAGAATTGTTGTCCTTTCCGCTTGAATAAGGATTAAAATAACTGCGAAATTATGGACAATTAACCATAAAATGAAATGGGTGAAAGAGCTGCCATTCCTTTTCCCGTCAATTGACTCTTCACTGTCACTTGTGTCATCTCCAGTTTGTGTGATTCCATCAAAATTAAAGTGATTCTACTAATATGTAATTCAGCCGGTTACTGTTTTTTTAGACTTCACTTCAGAATGAGGCACAGCATTGGTTTGTATGCTGCTGTTCACACGCAGGTACGGATCATCAGAGAATACATTTTCATTGAGAGTCATTGAGAGCATTATAGTAGATTTCAGAGAAGCCCTGGTCTGATGTACTGTAGCCCAATACAGGACATGAAGCCCTGGTCTGATGTACTGTAGCCCAATACAGGACATGAAGCCCTGGTCTGATGTACTGTAGCCCAATACAGGACATTTTCAGAGGGCATTTGTGGGCCATATGTGTTATGTCAACAGTCTTTCATTTGCTGATCACTAAACTACAAGCTTTCATCAAGGGAAGAACAGGAGCGCTCACACAGAAGTAAAACCAGTGACTTCAGACAGAGAGTCTGACTGCACTGTGTGTGTGTGTGTGTGTGTGTGTGTGTGTGTGTGTGTGTGTGTGTGTGGTCTTGATACATCACAGTGAAGTGACTTGGCCTCTAACACCAACAACCAGTCCGTCCTGATTCAACACTCCGGTCTCGCAGTCACTCGCTGTAACTCAATCCCCGCGCCAGCATTGGCCACTTAACACAAACCGGCCGTGACAACGAGAGGTGAGAAGGCTAGCAGGCAAAATCACCTTTGTGTTGTGTCAAAGCGAGTGTGCTCAGAGCAGTGTGAAGAAGAGGGTCTCAATCACAACTCATCGTGTCTACACTCACACCGCAACCTGACGAGGGGAAGGGGGGGGGGGGGGGGGGGG